TGCGTGTGGGACAAATTTGCTCACTTGCCTTTCTCTGCAGTTTGACAGGGAGGATTTTCAAATGTGTCTTGTGGGAAGTAAGAGAATAAAGTCTATTTAAAGCCAGTAGTACAAGTGTCCCTACGTCACTTAGTTCTAAAAAAATCTCCACGTAATAATCTAAATAATATTCAGCATGTAGATATTACAAATTCTCTAAATCCAAGCTTTTCAGTGTGCTTTGTAATCTAGATACTTAGATAACTTTCTCTCTCACACTCATTAACTTTAGGTTCTTTTATGTGGTTTTATGCTTCTCCAAATAGAATCTCACGCTGTCTGAAATTTTTGCTAAGGGCCAAGTTGCTTCTTTCAGTACAGGCATCTTGAATTGAAATGCTGAATAATACACATGCCTACTGATTGTCTATTTCACTACATGTCTGATTACATTTAAAACAGTGTGTGTATTATTTTGATTCTTCCCTGCACTGTGAAGAACAGAGATTTGAAAGTATCATTTCAATTTTTATAGAAATTGTATCTAGCAGGGATATTTCAGTGTGAAGATTAAGTCTCACCTGCTTGTAGGGAATAAATTGAGACCAAAGTGAGTTTCCAGGTCACCCAATCAGTTAGTGGCAAAGGCAGGCTTAGAACTCAGTTACCATATATGTGTTTCACTAATGAACTTAGTTAACCTGGTAGTGGGAATGAGAAGAAAAATAATTTGAAGCCATGTGAAACTATCCATAATTACTGTGCCACAGGATAAATTCCATTTAATGTTGGCTTTGTCATTCCTGAATCTCAAGATATTTTTTCTCTTTCATTTTCCATTGTGCAAACAGATGATTTTTACTCCTGCTACAAACTGGCTATCCTGGCTACATGGCATTTCTAAACTAACAGTCAGAACCAGGTCCCCCCTTCATGCTTGGTGCCTCACCAAAAGTCTGTAGAAGTGGATGGAAATTGGTGTTCATGTGGTTAAACTGCGTCCCTCTAGAAATCAAATACGTCATAGATACAGCGTGGTTTAATCAGTTTCTCTGCACTTTGCTGTCTCTTCTTTCTTTTCTCTCTTTTTGTTCTTTTCCCTCCTAACTTTTTCCTTTTTCTCATCTATCAGTACTTAACCTTCAGATTTCTGTTTAGTAAAACTACCAAAGCAGAATCAATAGCATGGTCCTTAATCACACTTTCTGCTGCTCAAGCTGTCAGGTTTGGGTTTGTTTGCGGAAGAGCTCTTGCATCTTGCATCTTTCATTTTTTAGCTCTGTTTAGGATGTTCTGTGCCACTCAAATACATGAAGAGCCAACGCTTTTGCTGTTGCTAATTGTTCTTATCTCACTGTGGTGTACGTACAGAATAAAGTTTCAGAGGTTGGTTCAGAATATAAGGAGAAAAGATAAATCCTTGCACTTCTACATTTTTAGCCCTTTTTATTGCTTCATGAAGTCAGTGAGAATCAGTGTTCTAATCTGCTGTGGTAACAAGGTCACATTCTAACTACCTGTAAGTAGATGTGAAAGGAGTGAGTTTAAGCATTCTTTGACCCTAGAAAATACGGTAAATAAAACTCAAAATGATACCTGGCAGCTATGAGTACTGAGCAGAAATGAAATCCTTGACATTCTTTTGGTAAAACAGAGACTGTAAGAGCAAGAGACTGTAGCTCAGTGCATCATCTACAGCTAAGATCCTGTCAAGAATCCATTTGTTCCTTCCAGAAGTAAACCCGTATGTTTTAGAAACTGGCTCATGTAACAAGTTTGAAAAGTGGAGGAAAACAAAGCAGTGTATGAAAAGTCAAGTGCACGTATGCCAGTGCAAAGGAATACAAGAAGGTGGCTCATGGCTGATCTCTTG